CGATGGTGCTCGCGAAAGGAACTTTTGATTTCGCGAAAGAAGTATCATCAGCTATAGTTCCTTTACTTACTTTCAAAAACATTTCTCGTCTTGCAGTCTGCAGGCATGCTTCCAGGCATGCTCAAAGGTAAAACGGTTGCAAGTCTTTCTGAGGCACAGGTACCTGAAAATCGACGAAAGCTCGGCGAAAGGTCGCGTAGGCCGAACAAGCCCCCAGCATTGCAAGCCATGGAAGACGACATAGCTTCTGCAATTCGGTTTTGGAGTTTAGCGCTTGGGCAAGTTCCAATCCCACTTGACCTTCCCGGCATGCTTTGTGGTCTTACAGGTCCGGTTTTGGAATTGAGAGTATGGGTCAAGAGTTCGTTTAAAGTTCAGGGCTTGGTTTTTGCTTCAAACATGCTGTCGCTTTTGGACCCTCATGTTCGTGTCGTATCCTTGTGTTTTGTCCTATTGTCGTGTCTTCGTGTCAAGTCTTCCTTGCCGAAGCTTGTGCCACAAATCTGCATTCGGGTTCGTGGCTCCTGTCAGGTTGGGGTTCAGAAGGTCAGGGGAAGTTATGCAGTAAGCGGAGCCATGGAGTTGATCCATGAGCTCACGGACGAGAACATCATCCTGATCCTCTCATGGTTTGTCTTGACCAGCCTTCCAAGCTGCGCAGCCATAAGCTGGAGATGGTACAAATCTTCCGCTGTGGGCTTTTCAAAGCAACTACAATGGCGGCATCAGGTCCACTACCGCGAGATAGTCTTGCCTTCGAAACAACTTGGTGAGGGCTTCGTCACATTCCTTGTTGATGGCAGCCCTCTTATCTTGGCTGCAGACCACGACATGCATAGGATTTTAACTTTTCTGGCTACAGACAAGTCTGCGAGTTTGCAGGTCATGCAGCCCAAGCAGCAGACAAGTCGGGAGTGGCCGTACTCCAGACTCCGCAGCGGTGTAGCAGGGCTGGTTGGGTATGCGGGCCAACAAATTGCTTTCTTTCCTGCAGCCGCCAAAAGCAAAAGCACATGGTCAAGTAAGACGCAGGTCATTGGCCGCACACACCAGAATATTCTGCACTGCGGGGAGCACTTGTTCCTTCTTTGCCATGGTAGCTGGTGGGATGATGCGCAACTATTTGCAGATGTTCTTGACCTGCAGGAGGGCACATGTGAGAGGATTGAAATCACAAAGTTGCGTGACGACATGGCACATGTGTTGGGAGATGACGATGCCCAGCGTCAAGCCGTGAGCTCTACGAGAGACCATTTCGTGTTTCATGTAAACACATTCACTGGCGCCAAAGTTGCCGGGGCCGTGCGTATCCCAAAAGCTCCAGCGACTGCAGAAGCTGCATCCATTCAGGCACCCGTTAGCTTTGCCAAGGTTTGGCCAAGCGGGCATCCAATCGCACAGCTGGAGCAGCCAGGTGAGCTTCCTGTTGAAGACCATCTCCTTCTTTACAGTCCTTGGCAAAGGAGAGGCCTCAACATTTGCTTGCTGGACGCTGCAAGTGGCGATGTGCGGTCACAGCTTTTGCGGCCACCACCAGCAACAGGAGCTGCTGGCCGTTTTTTTGCCGATCGCGGCGTGGGTGCTCTTGCTGTCTCACTGAGTTTCGAGGTAATTTGTGCTTGTAGCGTCGCTCCAAGAGGTTTACAGCCTCCTCCAGTCCTGGTGTGGGATTTGTCCACTGGCCTTTTGTTGCGCGAGTTCTGCCATGATGCCGTGGCGCAAAATGTTCCAGTAGTCCTGCCCGCAGCACCTGATGAACCAAACAGCAGCGGCTATAATTTTAGTGTGGGTGACATGGTGCAATGCTTCACTGGAGACGGCTGGCAGCAAGGACAAGTCACGCAACAGGACTATTGGGAAGCAGATTGGCCTGTTGGAGTCACAGTGCCTTACCAAGTGCGGCTTACGGGTGAAGCTCCAGGGCTAATCTATGTTCCACGTGATCTGCCTCGCCTTATTCGCCCAGCTGCCAACTGGCACACGTATGCATCTGAAGAGGTGGACGTACAGATTGCAATACACCCTGCGCGACGCTGCATCATGATAGGTCTTTGGCAGAAATTTAGAGGACGTGTACATTGTCTTGATGTTGTGCCTTGACGCCAACTTCTTGAACGAGGGCAGCATGTTTACACAGAGCCGCCGTGCCATGGTGCTTCTTGCAGCTGTGTGGGCACTGGACAGGCGATCAACAGCACAGCAAAGCTTGCTGGACAAAAGCCACGAGACAGCAGGCGTTAGTTTGCATCAGGGGTGGAAGTGGATCTGCCTTGGTCACAGCCTGACCCCTCAATCCTAGGTCCTAGATTCCTAGATCAGTTTACATTCAGGAGCAACGCAATATGCACCACAGTATTTTAAGTGTATCATTCAGAAGCGCAGGGTGGAAGAAAAGCGCCCCCAGAGAAGGCTGGTGATGTTGCTTCCCAGGGTCGCCTGAAGTCCTTGCCTTGTGGGCTCCATTCAGTATGGAATGACAAAAGTAAGGTGACGGGCCCTGGTGTAGCTGCTTGTTCTCCTGCCTTACACCACACGGCTTTCGGGGAGCTGCCATTGAGGTGCCGGGTCATCTGGTGGCTCCTTCACGCCGCCTTTCTAGCAGCTGTGGCTTTCGTAAATCTGCTTAGTAGGCAAAGGCGCTGTGATGCCAGCATTCAGGAACACCGCGGACAGAGGACGTAGGCCAAGACTCTGCACATGCCACAAATTCGACTAGACTTGTAAGAACAGCTAGCGTTGATTTAGTGAAGTAAACAGGCAGCACGCTTCGGTCTCTGGACCTCGTGTGCAAGCCAACCACCAAATATCCTGCAAAAAGTACCAGCGCAGAATTGCAGACAGAGTACGGCCTTCAGAGGACACTGCTCACACTTTCCGCATTTGCACTGAACCAGGAAAGCCACGCTCCGGTTGTGGCTGCAACCAAGGAACCTCCTCAGCTAGCCCGCAGGCTTTCGAAAGGCGAATTTTGAGTGAAAGTCCAGCTGCGCAGATTTGAAACGAGCATCCAAGCGAGCCATGCGAGAGTCAGCAAGCATGAAATTCATGTGCTCGAAGTAGCGGGCAACCCCGCTGCAGTGAAGGAGCTGCGACAGACGTCTGCCAGCGTTTCCTTCGTCACTTACCATGTTACATGCATGACTTGCAAGACTTCATGTTTCTAGGTGCTCATCTCGTAGAGTTACAGCCTTTCAACAAATCATGATGATGATGCCTAGAGACTGAACTTTTGAACTTAGTTTTGTTCGCGCAGCTAGAGTGCTTGTCTCACGTCCGCATTTGTGTGCAACACTCTTGGCAAACCTTCTACAGCGGGAGCGCTCCTGCTTTCCGTCCGAAAGAGTCGTGCATCTGAGCATGACTTGAAAAAGCTATGGACAAATCGGCAGCGTTGTTGTTGGCGCTGGCGGCCATGTTCCTGTGGGGCTCCTGGGCAAACACCCTGCTGCTGTCGCGAATACGCTTTGAGTCACCCGTTTGCAAGAAGCAAAAAGCAAGAAGCTCCTGACAGCTGTGTGTGGAGTCATTCATAGGAATGCTTGCCCAAGGTTGTACTTCCTGGACTACATTTTGGGTCACCTGCTGGCTGGCTGTGTGCTGCTGCAGGACAGGGATGTGTGCTTGCTCAAAACTGTTTTTAACATTCTTTTGTGACACCCGGTGTTCCTTGGTGATTGCATTAATCATAGCCACCCAGCTGCTCAAATATTCGGTGTAGAACATTCATGTGAATATTCGGTGTAGAACACTCACATAGCTAGCTTGATTGTCTGTCTGTGACTTCGTAACCGCTTTGCTATGTGAACCGCCAAAACAAGAGTGATGCCAACCGTGGGTTAATCTGGATTGAGTCTTTATGTATGCTATAGTCCCTAGAGAGAAGCTGGGTGGCTAAAATGGAATGTTGAGAACGACTTCTTTTCTACATGACCCTTGACAATCTGTGAAAATGGATGAATGAAAAATCAGGGATCAGCGCTAGCCGGGGACTATTCATGGAGAGTTGAAAAGATGCAGATTCTTTCAGGATGCGGCTCCTTCACTTCAAGTCGCTGCTGAAGACCCCTCAGGGGCAGTGGTTTTCATGATCAGTGCTCTCGCGGGGCTCCTCTTTGCCCTAGGCCCGCATTCCCGTTAAAGCATTCAAGCGTGAGCTATGTCTGTGAGAGCTTGCTCTAGAGGCTGAAGCGAGAAAAGAAAGCGTCCTGAAGCAGGTTCGCTGCTGGCTGTAGCCTCCATCGACTTGGCGGGCATGGCACTGCCAACCATTGTCCTGCTGGGCGTAGAGATGGCCTTGGGCGTTCCATTTCTGCTGTTGGTGGAGGGTTGGGGCTCTGCCCAGCATATGATCCTAGCTTTTGCAGGCAAGCCCCGCAAGCATCAGGAACGCCCTGGAACGTTCATGCCTTTGCCTTGCCCTTCTGTAAAGTTTATGCCTTTGCCTTGCCCTTTGCAGGCGTCATTGCTGTGCTCGCAGCTACCTTACTCGACGGTTGGTGCCACTGGAGTCTGCAAAAGGATTGCACACCAGAGGAGCAAGAGAGCCAGCCCCTGTGCTTCGGGTTTACGTCGAACCTTGGTTGCTGCTATGCCGGCTATGCCTGTAAATCCTGTCCTTTGTCTTTGGATATGTTTAGGTCTGCGCCTGCGCTGAGGAGTCAGTTCAGCAGCCTGAGTTTCTGGTCTTTCCGGGCCACATCGGTTGCTGCTGGGAGCTTTGCACGGAGCCTCAACTCTACAGCCGTGACCTTCCTGACGCACGGCTCTGCCCTGCCCGTCAGCTCTGTTGGGTCGCAACAGGCCTGCGCTTGAATGCATCAAGAAGAATGAATGGAAGTAGTAAAAGGAACGATCAAACTCCTGTGTCAGGTGCTGACAGCTGCATCGGGGACTATCAGAGCTCACAAGCAAGGTCATTTGGGCCTCAGCTTCGCAGCCATGGGAGGCCTTTGCTTCGCCATTTGGCCCTGCATCAGCTCCTGCGTGGAGGGGCAAACGCAGTGGGGCAATGCCTTCACCACACAGCTTAATGCATCAGCTTTCTTCTTTATATACGCTCCTTATGTGCACATGGTATAATTTCCACGAAGGCTTGTCAAGAAAAGCCTCAAGTTTTTCAGATTGAAGACTGCAGCAGTTTCGAGGCGCTGGGGGCCTTGTTGGCAGCGCTGTTGCTCCTGCCACCCTTGTGCCGCTGGCCACTGCACTCAGGCACTCAGGCCACAAGTGGCACCCATGGATCTGCCACAACTCTGTGCTTTGCTGCAGCACTGCAGGTGTGAGCTTGAATTTCTGGGCCAACTACATGGAGCTCCGAGCCTGGAACCACTTCCTGGGCCTCTCTGGCGGTTTTGCGCATGGTTGCGGATCACTGCTCTCCCTGCAAGCAGGATTCAGCTTTCAAAGTACATGCAGGATCTTTTCCTCTACCGGGGTTTTAGAGCTGATGTGTAGTGCTCTCAGGCCGTGTCCTTGGCAATGCCGTGGCGATGTCCATCACGCGCTGCCAGCCGCTGGCTCCTTGACTTTTGACTCTGGTCAGCCTCATGTTGCTCCACAATTTTTCATGTTGCTCTGTGTGGGGGTGGTGGGCAGTCAAAGAAGCGCACCTTGTTATCCGTGACAGCATCTTGATCCCCCAGAAAAAGAGCTGAGCCAGCCATGAGGTTTGTGCCACCTGGGGCGTTTTGATTTGGGGTGAGCTGCAAGGTGCGGGAACGAAGACCAGCTGTGCCTTAGCTACTTTAGCCACAGCCGGTGTACCACTTCCAAAAGACTATCACAAGGCCTTTTCGCCAGCATGCTTCTTGCATTTACAGCTGCCGTGGTGCTCTTCCTGATTGCCGGGCTGGATGGCTGATCACGTGAGAGGTGCCGGTGCCTCTGTTTGTAGGCTACTAAGGGCTCCTAAGTTTTGAGAAGCTGATCTATTCATGGGTCGGCAGCAATATTTTTAAGTCTGGAACCACCGGAGCATTCGAGACTTGGTGCTCCTGAGCCCAAGACTAAAAAGCAGGGTACCCAAAGGAGGCCTGTTGTTGAGATGTCATCACTCTTGCAAGCTTCTGAGTTGAAGCCAAAGGTTTGCTAATAATCGCCCAACTGTCCTACAAAGCTAGGACCGGAACCAAGCGGAGCATTTCCGGCCTTGAAAACGGCATGCAGTGTAGAAGAAGAGGAAGCCTACAAGTTCACCTCGGCTGAACTACAATGATGCCTTGTCTGAGCCTTGCCCGATTCTGATCATAAACCCCCACAAGACCAGGGATTCCACGGAGCCTAGGTAAACCACTGCGCAATCCAGTCAAAACGGGCCCAGAATTAGCCCCCTTGTTTCCCTGTAGTAACTTTTGTTGGTGCTGCTGACTCTCATGGTGAGGTTTGTTCTGTACAACCTGAGCCCAGCCTACGCTAATACCCAACCAAACACTGTAAGGGATTTGGTCCCCCTAACCCTCGTCAGTTGGCACGTCCGACTGCTGCTCAAGCGGAATATCCGGCACCATCATTACAGCTTAGCTTGTCAATGGCCAGAATTCCCAGGTAGGGTGGCATGGACCTGCTGTTGATGATCTTCAGGCTCTTGGTAGGGGCAAGTTTCGCAGGGCTCTGAAGAGGAGTATTCCTCTACGGTCAATATATCGTCAGTCAAAGCAGGATGTCGCATGGACAATCGGGATGTTCTTCCCTGTTCTCCATACCTTTCAAAGCGATTCGATGCCCATATTAATGTGGAAATGGTCTCCAACACTCGCTTGGTCAAATACATTTACAAATATGCTTTCAAAGGCTACGATCGCGCGCATGTGGAGGTGCAAGCGCAGATCGACGAAGTCCAGACGCACATCAACGCACGCTATATTGGCGCATCTGAAGCTGTGTGGCATCTGTTCTAGTTCCCCGTGCATGGGCAGTCCCACTCGACAGAGCGTCTTGCTGTGCGTCTACCCGAGCAGAACATGTTAACTTTCACCGACGGCCGCGAACAAGATTGCTTCCAATCTCCCATATCTCGCGCAAGCACTTTGACCGCGTGGTCCGACATGAATGCTCGCATCCGCGATGAAGAAGCTGATCCTTTCAGCATTCGCACCTGCTTGTACCACTACACACGCGCACTTTGCACGTGGAATCGCACCAAGCGCTGCTGAAGGCCAAGAAAAGCAAAAACTCAGCCGCGCGTCATTGGGCGCATGTTGTTCCTTCGAGGCTGCCTGCTTGCCTGCGTCAGCTGAAGGTGCTTCCGTGTTGTTGGTTATTGACCTTCCCACTGGTTCCCCTGCCAGACACTGCGGACCGTGGACGGCCGCGTCTTTGAAAGCTTTCAAGACGCTGCTGTGGCTGTGGGCTTACGCGATTCAGATGAGCATTATCATGCTGCCTTGCAGGACGCGGTTTCCATCCCTTCGTTCCTGGTCACAGCGCTGGTGCCTTGCGATGTTGCCAAGCTGCTGGATCTTTGATCCTCCTTCCCGGCCGACTTGTGCGAAAACCTCTTGTGCGATCTATCTGCCGACCTTGCTTTACAAGCTGCCCTTGGGGAGAGCAGATACACTGTCAAGCTCACGGCCCCTCTCGCAGAATTTGGCCTTCCATTGCCTGCTGATTTCGATGAAGCGCACAAGCAACGAGAATTGCGTGCTGAGTAGGAATATAACGTGCATGCTGAGCAGGCTGCAAAGTTGTCAATGCGAAACCGTATATACGCGGAGCAAGCTGCAGCGTTTGATAGGCTCAAGCATGCTTTCGACGCAAAGGAGACTGTAATCTTTTTCCTGGATGGCCCAGGTGGCTCCGGCAAATCTTTCTTGTTTGAAGCCTTTCCGCACTACGTACGCGGACATGGCGATATAGTCGTCGCATGCGCGTGATCCGTTGCTATGCACGCTTTGGCTTCTTTGTGCTTTGCCCCCAAGACAATATTCCATAGAACGTGATTGTGCGCAGCGCGCGTGGGTAAGCCTCTGCATCGAAAAGCACGACACCGGATAGTGGTTTGGACGCGGCATTGTGGCGCAGCGAGCTCCTCATCGGCGGCGCTTTGGCCGCCTTGGGCGGCAATCTACGACAAGTCGAATACACTGACAGAAGCAAGATTGTCGCCACTTCAGTGACATTCAGTGGACTCTGGACGAGTGATTACCTTCAATATAGATATCTATCTTGCAAAAAATATCCGAACGAATCTGGACGTCGATTATCGTAATTTTCTCTTCCGCATGGGGACGGAACCTTGCAGGGGCGGGCGACATCACGGTGTTGCGGACGTTGTAGCGTCGCAATTTCGCGGGGTCGCGGTGCCGGATGTATTTATGGCATTTGACATGTTTTTGTTTTTCGGGTACGAATTATATTTGCTTATGCTCAATAATTCGCAGTGATTCGGACATACGATTTTTAAGCAGAGTGGGGGCAAATGCGCGGATATTATCAGGGTATTCTTTGCGGATTGGTAAAGTTGAGGATCTTGGCCGGGTAATATCGAATATTGCGGCGGTTGTCAGATTGTTGTTTTTTCTAAACGCACTTGCTTAAGCATTGTCGTCAGGAATGTTTGTGCCGGGTGAGGAATCATTAATGATTTCTTTATTAAATTGCGTAATTGAATTTGTCGGAAAGTTTCTATTATCGTCATGGGCTTGAATTGATTTGGAATTTGTTTTGGAAGGTATTTTTTCTAAGAGAAATTTATGTTATACTTTATAGGGAATGGATTTTCTGAGCAATCAAGATGAGGAATTGCTTGTTGTTAGCATAGAATTCTCGCGAATAGAATTTCTTTCAAATTATTGGGAATTCTTCGCTGGGTTAAAATACTTTTTATTTGTGTAGATATTATATTCAGAAATTGATGATAAAGATTAAAGTATTAAAAATATTGTTATGAAGAAGGAAGCTTTCGATATGTAGATTAAGAGAAAGTTATTATTCGTGTAGTATTATGAAAGGATTTTTGGGAATGATGTTGTTGTTAAGAATCTTATGATTGAAAGTCTTTTTAAGGCGCTATTGCTAGGGAATTGGGTAAGGATTGGATTTTTTGGATATTTTTTTGAAATTGTTGTTATCGGGAATACTCTTGGCAAATTTTTGTCAATGGGGGTGATTTGCTTAGATTGTAAGAA